TGATCATACAGATATAAAACGACTATTTCCGCATTCACTTCTACAGTGATAATATCGATCGTGACGAGCTTCTTGAAGAATTCTCACTATTGATGGCTCCATAGAAGTGAATTACTTATCAGATTCTCTTTCTGTTTATGCTATATCTTTTCTGATGAATAAAATTTTTAAAAAATCTTCCGAATTTTATTGACAACATCGATATATACACCAGAGAGCATTAAATGTATTAAATTTCGTTCCAGAGTACAATGGTGAATTAAATCTTTTTCATATTAAATATTGAATGGAAGTAGCTTTAAGCAAATGTCTTGCAAATATTTTCACAACTCAACTGATGATTCTTTGTCGATGAGAGATTTCCAACACTTAAATATGTTTCAGAAGTTTTTTTGCTCAAACTAAACCCAATTTCAGTCCAGAAATTTAGCGCAAAAGCTCGATTACTCATCATGAGTTTTCCCGTGCACTACCAACAAGTTGGTATGAACAATTTTCAAAAACTAACGAAATTACTGAATAAACGAGAAATAAAGCATAGAGTCAAACATCGAAGAAAATAAATTTTCAAAAAAAAAACAAATGTCGAAATATTGTTTTGAATAGAAGAGTCTGTGAAATAAAGAGAAAAACTGCTGTTACCATCAATAGGTCATCCTAGGAGAATTTGTCTAGTTTTTTTCTCAGACTAAGAATTCATTTTAACATATTAAAGAAAAAAAATCTTTGAAATGCGTCAAATATCTAAAATATATTAATTCAACGGTAGAAATGAATGAAATAAAGGTAATTTGTGTTACATTTTTTTCATGTGTTTATTTTCTCCTGAATAGAATGAGGCAACATTGGTATAATAGATGTTGTCGAGATCCCTATGAGTGGAAAGAAACGACAATTCTTCAGCGATGATTTCCAATAGAATCTCACAAGAGCATCGTGGCTTTTATGAGAAATGACAGGATGTCAAGTACTGTTGAATAGCAACAAAATATTGCTGAATACAAAGGGGTTGTTCATCAAGCTGTGTGTATTTTTTTTTCATATTATGAAGCAAAAGAAAAAGCTGCTGATACACATAGATATACATGAGAAAATTGAAAGAGTTAAATTTTCTTCAGGAATGAAATACTGGATTAAATCTGGTTGATATTCAAGATTGAATGGAATGGGCTTTAAGCCAAACCGTTGAAAATAGTTTAAGATTTTTTAATCAAAATATTTAAATGAGAACAATGATTTATTGCAGATGAGTGTTTGTCAACGTTGAAATAGCTTTTTAGCAATTTTTTCTTTGTTTCAAATAATTCGATTTAAAAGAAATATAATTTCTCAGTTGTGAACAAAGTTCTATTTACAAGATATTGAAACAAGAAAACAGCTAAAATCCTACTTTTTGAACGCTCAGACGTAGAGTTGCCATCTCATAAGGTTCCGAATGGGGTACATAAGTTTTCTCAAAATTCAAAGTAGTGCTGTAAACAAAATCACTGAGAAAAACTTATGATTTTGTAACAGACTTCATATTGGCCTTTCGTCGTGCAAAAAATGATCTAAAATGTTATTTTTTCGCAAAGAAAAAGTCCAAAAATAAAGCGATTTCTGGAAAGAATCGCTTCAGTAAATAAAATGACGAAAGTGTTGCTACACAAGAGATGACTCGAGATGATCGAGATTGGAAGATTTTCACATTAGAGCTGGAGTAGTATCTTCTATTAGTCCAAATATGTACCAAAATTTTGTCACTTTCAATCAATTTTCATACAAAGAGGTGGAATTTAGGAAAAGTTAATAAACTCTTCACGATTCAGATCAGTTCCCCTCACGTGAGAACTTTCTTGTAAACTGCCAGAAAACATGTGCACTTTTGTGAACCTACTCAGAAAAAAAACTTTTGCGCTCAACACGAAAACTTTTCTTTACAGTTTTGTCGTCGCAGAGAGCTAATCTGGCAACACTTATTGGAAAATAAATAAGAGGTGTAGGTATAGGTACACGTGTGGATGTAGCATGTAGGTATGTGGATATGGGTGTGACTGTGGCTGTGCATTACGGTCTTTTCTGAATCCACATCCACACCCACACCCTCTGATGTGAACCTGTATGTGAGTTGATTTAGATGACTTGTCTTATTTAATCAATTGATCTATCTCGATGACAGTTGCGTACTTGTCGCCAGTAAAATTGAAACCAATAAACTTGTTTTTATTGACGTGTGAAATTACGAACTTTCTTTTCTGTAACGCATTTAACTATTATGACGTCATATTCAAAATAAAAACTATATTTAGAAACAACATTTGATACTAGTTTACATTGAATTATCTATTTGATTTTATTTCTGCATCATAGTTTACGACATTTAATGAAAAAAGCTTGTGGATAATGATTATTAAATGAATAAAATATATCATATATATTTAGATTGTAATGCTCAATTATTGAAGAAAAATGTTAAATATTTTTCGATTGATAGCTATTAGTGGAAAAACAATAATCATATCGGCAATGCTGTTGCCCAACCGAGACATGGACGAAGTGCACCTGTCTTTGTATTTTGACCAATGCCTAAGAATCCAGCAATGAATTTCATTTTTGTTTCATGTCCATTATCATCCAAAATGAAATCTGTTCGAGTTACACTTTCATTGAAATCAGCAAAATCGATTCTTTTGATAGTATTCTTAATAAAACAAAAAACATAGAATTATCTTATACAAAATAACCTATGAATATATATACTCCTTTAAAACCATGAGTCTCACGTAGAGCTTTACGATATTTTCCATTTTCATCAGTTGTGTACCTTTGAAATGAACAGAAAGTAATTAGAAAAATACTTCTGAGTTGGAAATCTACTTACGGAATAAAATCAGCAAGCCAACCAGCTAAATAAGATGGACCAGATCCACCTCCTTCTTCATGACATATTTTTTGCCACCAATCGATGTCTGGCTTTCCTTCGGCACTCTCTTTCAACTTTCCTATATGTGGTAAAAGTGAATCTAACCACCAATGAAAATCAGTAAAAATTGTTCGAAGTTGATTGATGCGATCAATCACTTGTTGA